GTTTGGCAAGATGGGAGTCATTTCCTAGGTCTTAAGGATGTTCCTTAATAAATTATAATTTTATTTTAGCACCTTTTTGAGAAGAACTTAAAATGAAAGTATTTTTACTGACTCTTTATCTTCAGTTCTTAAGTTTAAATGCCATGTTAAACATTGAGAATGCTTATTCCTTGCATTTACTATATTTTCTCCAAACTATAAACATTCAGTGTATAACTTGTATAAAAATATATATATATTAAATTCAAAGTTTTAATAGATTTCTAATTATTCCACAAAATCTCAAATAAACTCGGTATCCTTTTCAATTAGTTTAAGCAAACTGGCTCGTCAGTTTCTAATGAAATGGCTAATGGCATTTCCCAAGAGTTTCAGTGCCATAATATACCAATTAGGAGAACTTTCAACCGACAATTGTATCATTAGCCACTTTGGCTATTTTGCAAAAGTTTCCAGTGACATTCAAGTGCGGTCAAAGTTTTGCGGTGCCTTTGCTATAAATACACACTTCTTGTGAATTGTTCAGGCATTTATAAGTTTTATTTTAAGACCTCGAATCTGCGGTTGCATAAAACATCAAATGCGCAAGAAAAGTTTGCCGTATCAAAGAATAATTCACAGAGATGCCTTTCCGGGAGGGCTGACAAGGTTCGGGGCTGTCAAAATGTAAGTTATGATAGCGTGAAATATGCAAAACGAATGCAGGGGACGAACGCCTCCGACTCAGCAAATTGAAAGACGTAATAGAGCCCATGGGCAAAAACTGGGCTAAACTGAGCGTGAATTATTAAGGTTCCGACTGGATGGGCCCAACCGTCTTCGGGGCTCCAGCCAAGGACACATGTCCTGCTGCCAGCCGATATGTATGTATTATATTTCATTTATTGTTCTCTTTCCGACCAAAAATCTAGTCAATAAAGTCATTTGACAGATTATGTGAATAGACAGAATACAAAAAACCCAAAGGCGAGGAGGAAAGCTAAGGTCTCTCATTCATCTAGCATTATGTAATATCCTCCGCCGAATGTGTAGGAGTGCGTTTGTGTGGGTCCTGTCTCTGACATCTTCGAAATGTTTTGTGGCCACAAGGATTTGGCCAACATTAAGGAATTTCATTTGGGCAAGATTGAAGCAGAACTTCCCAAACACTCCAACGAGGATGCGACCGCCCGAAGTAAATGTTTAATCACACAGAGAAAAATGTCGAAAAATTTAAATACACCAATAAAAAAAATTCCATGAGATTGTAATAATGAAACAAGATTACGCACAATTTTTTAACAATTGACCAAAAATAATGATTATTAAAAAAAAAATTGTTGTCTTTTTAAGTCTTAAATTTATAATCTTCAAAAATTATACTTAATTTTAGGCAAATGATTTCTTTTACTTGCTAAGTTCGTCTTAGAAACAACCTAACTTAAATTTTTATAAATGTGTTTTTCTCATTAAAAATTCAACGAATGATGGCAAAATCGCATTTAAAATTCTGACAAATGCAATGGAAACGAAAATCAATAGAAATTTGCTTGGATTTGGTTTGGAAGAGTTTTCGGCGACACTAATTGCTTTGATAAACAAAATAGAATCAAAAATCGCCTGGATTTGTTTGTAAGAGTTTTCTGGGACACTAATTGAATCTAATGTTTACCCGAAATCAAACCGGATGTTGAACACCCCCGTAATTTCGGCTCTTATTTTCTCTGCGTGGCTTTCTATAATTTGAATATGACCTCCTCTGATTGTAGAACTGTCCGGGTGCGAGAGGAAATTATCAATTAGATGACATCAAAGTGCGTTCAGACTTGAATTTTCCTTTCTGAAACAACACTGAATGCCGGCGACCCTTAACCAAGACGTGTCCCCTAAGAGAGCAGCGAAGACACTTTCCTGGAATAAGCTTGAATAACTTAGTACTCCCTGTTCCTTAGATCCGATTATTAATGTACTCACTATTCCGCACACATAATACACATACCTAGTACGAAGAAAAACCAAATGTTAGCTAAGTAATCGCTTTGGTGGCCTGAAGACCCAACAAGATGGCAGAGCCAGAGGAACCACGGTTTGATTCGATGATATGGAAAGTAGCCCAAGGAACCGACTAACCTATATTACGATTCCCATAGGGAGGTTCGACTGGGTCGCTGCTGTAAGTACCACTGGCGAGGAAAGTTAGCTGTGATGATACCTATAATCACGTTGCCGATCCTCATTCTGGGTTTTGCGTACGACCAGGCTGTAAGTACGGGTTAAACCCTCTAGATATGGATCATATTATCTAGAACTGCTGTTTCAGGAGTACAAATGTCTGTACGTAATAGTCACCATGGCACTCTTGTGGATCACCGAAGCCCTGCCCATTTACGTTACTGCAATGTTGCCCATTGCCTTTTTACCACTTCTTGGTCTTGTTGTGAGTGAAATTATATCTTATTATTTAATAATAATATAATTGAACGAAACTGTATTTTTAGGAGACCGCAGCAGTGTGCAGACTGTACTTTACCGACACCATTGTCATGTTTCTGGGTGGTCTCATTATGGCCTTGGGAATAGAGTACTGTAATCTCCACACCAGAATTGCCCTGAGAGTTATTCGGATTGTGGGTGGAAGTCCACGACGGTAAGCTTGAAACCGCTTTATTATTACAGATCTTATCTTGCAAATTTTTGAATCTGTTCTTGTAGATTATTTGTGGGATTGATGAGTGTAAGCGTTTTCATGGGACTGTGGATATCGAACTCGGCCGGAACGGCCATGATGTGTCCCATAGTCAAGGCGGTAATCAATGAAATGGATGCCGTAAGTATATCGATTTAAAAATACCATCTAACCACCTCCTAAATCTATTTTTAGAACAATATATTTCCTGTATATATGACGCAAGAGGAAGAGCCAGTGGAGGAGGGGGAGTAAGTACACGTGATTTTTGGCATCTATAGTTGTTCTATAAACCTTACACAGTCCACCGCATCCCTCCAAAATGTCGGTTGCCTTCTACGTGGGCGTGGCGTACGCCTCCACAATTGGCGGACTGGGAACTCTTATTGGCACGGGCACAAACCTGGTCTTTAAGGGAATCTACGATCAGTAAAATAATGTAAGTATGCTGAAAACAAAATGAAAATCGTTTTTTTTTATTGCAGACGGTTCCCCACTTCCACGGAGGAGGTCACATTTGCCAACTTTATGTTCTACTCAATCCCCCTGCTGGTTATATGCAATATAACGCTGGTCATCATCGCACTGATGATAACCCACATGGGTTTGTTTCGACCAAACAGTAAAACTGGGCAGCGGATCAAGGAGGCGAATCTGAACAAGAAATTGTTAGAGGAAGTTTTGCGACAGCGACATATTGCTTTGGGCCCAATGAGCTGTCACGAGATCCAAATTGCAACATTGTTTTGTCTAATGATCGTTCTCCTAATTACCCATAGACCGGGCTTCTTTCCGGGTTGGAGCGATTTGCTCAGCGCACAGTGAGTATTCGATTAGAGAGGTATTAATGAAATGTTCTTATGAATAAGATAAGCCCAAATAGATATATAAATTTCCCTTATCTATTTTAGGCCAGTAAGAAGTTCAGCTGGATTGATGTTTCTTATTATAATAATGTTTGCCCTGCCCACTGAATATACGTTCTTTAAGTACTGCTGCGGCAAAGGTGAGTTTCCGAAGTCTAAAAGCAATTCAAGTCCTTTAAAACACCGCAAGTCACAGCTCCTTTTCCTGGTCAACCATTAGATGCGTTATTAGCTTGGAAATTCGTGCATGACAACATATCCTGGGGTCTATTGTTCCTGCTTGGTAAGGTTTTTAAGATCCCCTGGGCTCTTAAGGCAATTCCCTGATTTTTTATTTCAGGTGGGGGCTTCGCCCTGGCCGAGGCCAGTAAACGAACAGGTGTGAATGTAATGATAGCAAGGGCCATGCAATTCCTCATCGGAATGCCTAGTATTGCTGTGCAAGTAATCACGATTCTACTGTCCATGTTTTTCTCAGTCTTCAACTCGAACGTGGTCGTAGCGAACATTGTTTTACCCATTTTGAGCGAAATGGTAAGAGATATATATATTTATTGTTTATTTCTATGGTCCCTCAATTGGAATCATACTTAAGTTATGTATCCAAAATATAATAAGGGTATAAGGTACTCCCAGTCGATCGGGATGAGTATTTATAATTTTATTTTATACTTAAATAGCTTCTAGGATGTACGAAGTTCTTTAAATATATATACATTATTTAAGTTAACCCGATGTTTTCTATGCAAAAAAGAGTATAGACCTTTGATATGTGGCGTTTCTATACTTGATTAGCGTACACAAAAAAACTCAATTTCGAAGAGATAGCATTAAGACTATATATCGTAAAAAAGTCTTATTAATTTCTTCATGCAGGCTCTCGTTGTAGAACTCCATCCTCTAATTCTGACTTTGCCGTCTTGTTTGGTAATCAGTATGTGCTACTTTTTACCAGTGAGCTCACCCCCAAACGCAATCGTTACGGGCTATGCCCATATCAAGACTAAACACTTGGTAAGTAAACCACCTAAAGATAATCCAAAAATATCCAATTTAGAGAATACTTTTTTTAGGCCTGTTGCGGCGTCTTGCCCACCATTATCGGATTCCTCCTGATTCTTTTGAACACGAATACATGGGGAATGTTAATATTTCCTGCAGCGAGTACCTTTCCTGACTGGGCTAAGGAAATTAAGAACCAGAGCAATATCTAAAAGTACGCTATTGGTCTCGTAACAATAATATTATTGTAGATATACATTGTGTAAAATGCAAAACTGGATTGTAAAGAAAAGTATTAAATGTATCACATTTAGCTTATAAAAAGTGTAAGCGCAAAGGCATTAGAGAACTTTCTGGTAATTGTATGACTAAGGTCTTTGCAAGATTAGCAAAGTTCCTTAAATCCAAAGATTATAGGTGAGGCTTACAATGAAAAGTATCATAGAATTGATTCAAACTTCTATCAGCGCAAGAGTGAGCCATGTGAAAATTGTTCTGTTGAATACAAGATAAAAAGTAATACTGTGTTAGAAGCCAAACAAAATGGCCGAGTAAGATTTTACAACTTCATTTTGTTAAAAAACAATTGACTTTTGATCTCGTATTGCAGTGCTGAGGATAGATTGGGAAGTGGTCAAGCATGTAAGCGCTGTTGCGGTTTCCATTGGAGGGGCAAGGCCACCATCATCATACCCCTCGCCACATTGCCACTCATGATTTATGGCTTAATGGAGGGTCAAAGAGTAAGTTAGGCAGACCACAATCCATGGTGGATAACTCCTTTCCCCCTCCTGCAGGCATGGATATGCATGTTCCTGGTGGCCAATATGGCACTTTTCTGGATAACGGAGGCCATCCCCCTGTATTTGACAGCTCTGTTTCCGATTGTTTTTCTGCCCCTGTTTGGGATTTTGGTAAGCCGGTGTTTGAGAAGATACAAACTGAGGTGGATTTTCTTAAACGAATAGCACTACAAAACTTTTTCATCTTTTGATATGAGAAGTGGATCTCCTTACTATCAAGTTTTTTTTAAATTTACAACATTTTTAAGAGTAATAATCTGTTTATCTTAAAGTGCGATCTTTCATATCTAACATTTCCTAGCCCTCGGATAAGGTGTGCAGTTTTTACTTTAGCGACACTGTGGTTATGTTTCTTGGTGGATTGCTGATCGCTCTAGCTATTGAGTACAGCAACCTCCATCAGCGCATCGCACTCACCACCATTCTTATAGTGGGTTGCAGTCCTAGGCGGTAAGTCTCCTTCCATAAGTCGATATAAAACTAATATGGTTCCCTTTCGAAAGTTTGCACTTTGGCTTGGTCATGGTGACTTGCTTCATATCGCTTTGGATCTCGAACTCTGCGGCCACCGCCATGATGTGTCCCATAGTCAAAGCCGTTCTCAACGAAATGGAAGCGGTAAGATATTTTTGTTAATATGACTCAATCCTTATATAATGGTGTGCTATGAAACCATAAATTGTTTTAAACCATGAATTCACATAAAATACTTTGTTGTATTTATTGGTCCTTCGAGCCGGATAAACGTCTTCAAAGTTTTAACATTATATCATTAATTTTATGTGCCGTCAAGTTCAATTCGTAGAAAAGAGAACATATTAAATATTATTAAACTTTTTGTTTCTGATCTTTATTTTTAGCAAAATATGTTTGCCATTTATAAGACACAGGAAGAAGAGCCAGTGGAGGAAGGCGAGTATGTGTCAAGTGTTGGCACATAAAAAATATTTTATAAACAATCCCCATTTTCTATTAGCCCTCCGCATCCATCCACCATTTCAATGGCCTTCTATTTTGGAATTGCGTATGCCTCATCAATTGGCGGATGTGGAACCCTGATCGGAACGGGCACAAACTTGACCTACAAAGGCCTATACGATACGTAAGGATCCTTGGTTGAGTTTGGTGATCTTTCTAATGCCATACTATTTATAAAACCCATAGGCGCTTTCCGAACTCCGAGGAAAAAATTGACTTCCCCATCTTTATGGCCTACGCCATTCCATTTGTGGTGATCGTGCTGATCTTTCTCACGTACCTTTCGCTGCAAATTACCCACATGGGTCTCTTCAGACCCAAGAGCAAGATTGGTCAGGAGGTGAAGAAGGGCGCCGAGGGCAAGGACATTGTGAAGGCCGTGATCAAGGAGCGCAAAAAGGAGTTGGGATCAATGAGCTGTCATGAGATTCAAGTGGGCCTGCTCTTTATCCTTATGATTTTCCTGCTGTTTACCCGAAGACCAGGCTTCTTTCCCGGCTGGGCCGACTTTTTGAATGCTAAGTGAGTTTCCCTAGGTCTGTTGGGGAGTATCTAATAACTAATAAATTTATTTAATTCTTGGTAGAGCCATCGGCAGTGGTCCACCGGTATTTTTCTCGGTTCTGTTCCTCTTCGCTCTGCCTACTCAGTATACCTTCTTCAAGTACTGCTGCGGAAAGGCTCCGTTCCCAGGACAAACTATGGATGCCTGCCTCTCGTGGGTCTACTGCCACAAGTACACTCCCTTTGGATTGTGCTTTCTGTTGGGTAAGTCTTTCTGTCAACCATATATTCCCCACGAATATACATATCACATCACAATTCATATTATTCTTTACCTATTTATAAAACAATGGCTCACAATCTGAGAATTATCACTAAATCGAGAACCAGTAAAGCTGAAAGAAAGTATATTATTATAATATTTCCTTGGCAGGAGGTGGATTTGCTTTGGCCGAGGGCAGCCGGGTATGTGGAATGGCCAAAATGCTGGGCGAGTCCTTGGCATTCGCCGGAAACATGCATCATGTCCTAGTTGTAGCTATGTGTATTTTACTTTCACTATTTTGTACCGCCTTCGCTTCTAACGTGGCCATCTGCAACATTCTGATTCCCATATTTGCGGAAATGGTAAGTTTCTGACAGTCATCCCAAATGTTTATTCATTTTATTATTAATATTCTTTTATAAATTTACTGTTTAGGCCCTGGCGATCAAAGTGCATCCCATCACATTGACTTTTCCCGCTGCTCTGGCCTGCAGCCTGGCCTTTCATCTGCCTGTGAGCACTCCACCTAATGCAATTATATCCGGCTATACGGGTCTGAAAACAAAGTACATGGTTGTGGCCGGTATTTTGCCAACCTTTTGGTCCTTCTTCTGTCTGCTGTTCACTGGAACCGTTTGGACAATGGTGATCTATCCGGCGAGCACGGAGTTCCCCAAGTGGGCCAGTTAAATTAAGGGAAATAAGACAAATGCCCTGTGCAAATTGCGTGTATATAATCAAGAAATATATTATATTATTTAAAGCATTATGAGAAATATTATTATTTGGAGAGCAATTTTAAAGTAAGGAAAGACACATATACATTTTAAAACATTTTTCATAACTTTTACCTCTTCCCTTAGACGTATTTAAAAAATCATAATAGACTGCATACAAAATTTCGAGTATCTCTTTATCAAATTTCCGCCATTCCCAATAATTTTCCTGTCAAACCAGAAAACTCATACCTTTTGTGTAAAAAGAATGGCGGTTTCACTTTGACAGCAAAATTATTGGTGTGAATGCCCAGCCTTGCCAAATGTAAGTACATTTTTGGCTTCAATTTATAAAATTTTCATTTAATAATTTGGTTTCAGTTCTAGGTGACAGCACAGTCGTTGCTGCTTTATTGCCAGGTTTATTCAGCATTTCTTTTGATGACTAATAAATACTTAATGCACAATTTGCGGCAATAAAAACTACACTAAACTTGTTTGAAAGTACAAAAGCCTTCTCGATGGTTGAATTTCGGAACTTGGGATGGGCGGAAATCTAGCCTACGGGTGGGCGTTCAAGCTCACTTAGCAGAAAACAAAAACTTTATGCAAACACAGCAAAATGTCCTTCGGCTGGTTCTTCACCTGAACTCATTCACATTCGCAGCGCAATATAGCGAGATAAAATCAAGCCAAACATCATTACACAGAGCAACTGAATTATATTGCCTTCATGCGTGAATGATATGTGGGTGAGCCCAGCACCCGAGGAACCATTTATAGCACACAAATCCCCAGCCGACAAACGCAGAAACAAATAACACCAGTTTACAAAAAAAAATTGATGAAATACGCCTTTCAGGAAACCTTTGTTTTCCGGTAAGATACATCTCCCTGATTAAGAAAAAAGCACTTAAAATTTTTTCTATGGTACCAATTTTTTTTAAAGTGTAAAAAACGTTTTTTGCACTTTTTTATTTTATAACTTGAGTTGTGATAAACCGAATTCGGTCATTAAGGACTCATTTTACAGGTAATAGAATGCCCTTTAACTTTCTTATACACATCATTAAGTTCCATTCATTAGTTCAAAAGCTACACTTCGTCAAAGTTGAAAAATTTGGAAAAAAATCAAAAACGCTGGCATAAATGGCTTCTTTAAAAATACACGCGTAAAAACCGAAATTAGTTTTATGTTTTTTTCTTGATGGCTGAACCATAACGGAGAATATGCGCCATAGATCACGACAATCCGTTGGTAAATCGATTTTTAACAGATTTTTAAACGTATATACCCAAGTTCATTATTCGGGAGCAGCGGCCGTTAAACGTTATTTTAAATTTTCAGTGTTGGGGAACGTAAGAATTTGGTGCAAGTTGTTATGCATAACGTCAGTTTCCTTGCTAAAAATATATGAAAATGATTTCCTCGTAACTGCAATCGCATACTCTTTAGCTTGCCCAGCGCTATAGCAAAGAAACTGACGTTATGCATAACAACTTGCACCAAATTCTTACGTTCCCCAACACTGAAAATTTAAAATAACGTTTAACGGCCGCTGCTCCCGAATAATGAACTTGGGTATATACGTTTAAAAATCTGTTAAAAATCGATTTACCAACGGATTGTCGTGATCTATGGCGCATATTCTCCGTTATGGTTCAGCCATCAAGAAAAAAACATAAAACTAATTTCGGTTTTTACGCGTGTATTTTTAAAGAAGCCATTTATGCCAGCGTTTTTGATTTTTTTCCAAATTTTTCAACTTTGACGAAGTGTAGCTTTTGAACTAATGAATGGAACTTAATGATGTGTATAAGAAAGTTAAAGGGCATTCTATTACCTGTAAAATGAGTCCTTAATGACCGAATTCCGTTTATCGCAACTCGAGTTAGAAAATAAAAAAGTGCTAAAAACGTTTTTTACACTTTAAAAAAAATTGGTACCATAGAAAAAATTTTAAGTGCCCTTTTCTTAATCAGGGAGATGTATCTTACCGGAAAACAAAGGTTTCCTGAAAGGCGTATTTCATCAATTTTCTTTTGTAAACTGGTGTAATGTATGTACAAGCAGGAGAAAATTCCAATGCGAGTAGGTACTCATGTGTATAAGAAACGCACCGAAATAAATGTAATAAAAACCCTGACAAGCGGAATATACATACGTAATCAAGACACGAATAAAAACACGCTTTTCAACACTGATTACGGTGAGGCATGCGGCAGGACTTCATCAGCAGGACGTCAGGACGACGCCAACGGGGGGCCAACATAAGCCCGCCAAATGGGCGACAGTGCGGACAACGAGCCACCCGAACATCCGCCACCCCAAAATGCCTGCTGGGATCGGAATGTACAGTGGTTAGGGCTGAAATAACAAGGCCTGTCATTTATTCATAAACCAGTAATAATGACAGATTTCAATAAACATAATTTTGTATTATTTGGACATTTACTTCAGCGATGAAGCTGTCTGGCATGCTGACACGTGAATGGGATTAATGAATTATTTATCGACGGATGTTTTTTGATAATAGCTCTCAGATAATGTATTCTGCATTATTTAAAGCTTTTCAACAGGGTATTATTATGAGGAGGGGCACACTGATGATAGGCAGAGTCCCTTAATTTATTTTATAGGATTAATAATTAGAATAAATATTTACTGACTTTTTCGAGTCATGATATAATTTGGTTATTGTACGAAAGTAATAAATTTATCAACAGATATTTTTTGATAATAGCTTTCAGAAAAAGTATTCTGCATTATTTAAAGTTTTTCAACAAGGTATCTAAATGTTGTTAAGGGAACACTAATGATAGGCAGAGTCCCTTAATTTATACATTTTTTAAAATTTAGAATCAGGATAATTATATCATTGCTTTTTCGGTGCAAATGATCAGGTTTTTTAATTGGTTAACTGTTACTAATTAAAAAAGTGGTTTTATTAATTATTTTATGTTCCTCTGCTGAGTTTATTATTTATTAACAAAATAAAGTTGAATATTTTTGCGAGTAAGATAACAAATGATCAAATCATTAACATTTACATTATGCATTAGTTATTCTATACAGAAAAAAGGCAATAAGTCATTGGCTGTTTTAGTTTTTTGTTGATTCATAATGTTGAATCCATGAATTTAAGATCATTTTGGCAAATAAATATGACTATCATGACACCCATAAATTAACAATAAATCAGTCGCTTTATGTAGAAAAAATGAGGGGGCATAAGAATAAGAATGGAGGGTTTCTTGTTGCCTTTATAAAACAAAATAGAATTATACCCATAATAATCCTACGAAACGGTGAGGATATAATCATATTAACAAAGTGCGAAATATGACCGACACAAATCCCTTATTAAGGTCTAAGTCTTATCTTGGTTTCTCCATCAATGTCATTATATTTTTATCCTTATCCACTCACCACTGTAATAATTGTTGTCCGAGTAACCGTATTTGCCGGCTGTCCTGCCCCCGCCGGCCATCTTTATAGATTGCTTTGTATCCTTGGCTCGTGTTGATACTTCCTGCTGCCCTAAGCCGATGTTGTTCTTGTTAGTTAGTTGTTAGGACTTGGGATGCCACTTCGGTACCATAAAGCACTCAAAGCTGTATGGTCTGCTGATCGGCTTTTGGTTGTGCTACAGTTCCTTATTTTGCTGCTGCTTCTGATGCTGCTTCTTATGATGCTTCCGGAAAAACAACTGAGGGAGAAAAGCGGAAAGGAATGCAAATAAAATCTCTGAGTAAATCCAGCCCAACAAATTGTTAATGACTCTGTCAGGAGCATAATCAGCTTGGGTATGAAACAGAAATCAGGAAGCCCACACACACAAGTAGGCAACGCATGCCGAAGGCATAGGGAAACCGGATATGGTAATGTGTTACAAAGTGTTCTGGCTTTTGCGAAAAGCTAAGTGAGATAAAACATGTTAGATAAGAAAGAAATTAATATGTTCTTATGTTTAAAATAAAATCAAAAAATTAAAAATACATATATTTAACTGACTAAACCTTAATGGTTGCTTCAAAGATTTGTAAAACATTTTCAGAATCAAAATCATAAAATCTACAAAATTTAAATATGATTCATATTTATAGCCAAGAATTTTAAAAAGGTCTTAAAAGAATATATTTATTAGTTAAAAACCAACATTAAGCACAGGCCATGTTTCTAATTGACACTTTCCCACAGCAACGTAAGTCACAATACCTAATAAAATTGATACACAATCCCAAATGTGTTAAAAAAAATAAAATTAAAACCAGCAAATTTAAATAAGACTCATGAATAAGTAGAAATTTAACAAGAACATTTAGACTTTAGTGCCATTAATAATTAAAGCAAACATTAGGTGCAGGCAAAGATGTTAATTGACACTTTCCCACAGCAAGGTTAATCACTATACCTAATAAAATTGATATATGATACCAAATATGTTTAACCATTTAAATTTAAATAAGAATCTCGAAAACATAGAAATTCAAAAAGAATATTTGGACTTCAGTGCCATTGATAATTAAAAACCAACATTAGGCGCAGGCCGAGTTTTTAATTGACACTTTACCGCAGCAACGAACCACATATTTTTAAATTAAATCAAAATATGGAGGCATTCGGATGTGCAAAATAAATCTGCTGCCTTTGGAATTCATTTCTGGGAACACGCTAGCTCAGCCGCTCGTCACATTACGTATACGCAACGTCAGCATGTTTTAATTACAGAAAACACCCAAACAGGAGAGCTCGCCTCGTCTGGTCGTGTAATTATGCACATAATTAATATGCAAGTACTTATTTAATATTAACCAAATTGCTGCCACTTGGAGCGTGTCGCCGGGGGCAACAGCAGTGGCAACCATCGAGAGTTCTGCTCCCATGGCAACAATAAATTGTGTTCAATTTGTGTAATTAGTGTAAGAAGCTCAGGCAGCCAAAGGTGAATGGGCCCGAGTGTGAGTGTGTGTGCAATTGTGTGTTAGGGGGGCGGGGCCAATTTACACACATAAATTGTTTCCCAGCTTAGAGAAAGCAATTTGGAAATTGCA